GCAGCGCAAATCAACTTCCGAACCGCGTAAGCGAAGTGATGTTATGAATGGAAGCTCGCTCTGAAATTGGCTGGAGAAATCGGCGCCTTTATGTAACAACCTCAAGCTTTCACCGAAAGTGTTTCATGGTGTAGATTTATCGTGCAAAACTTTAAGACATCTCAATTCAACTGAAAAGAGATTGACAATTGCAACAACGAACAACACCGTCGATCGAGATTTCCACACTGTAAAAAATCGACGTAAATTTAACGTGTCTTTCCCTCGTCAAAAAAGACGGGCACGCTAATTGTTTCGAAACACGAGGTTGCCCTCATTATTTATGTGCCGCGAGAACCGATCCTTCCAGAAAAGCCGAAATACTAGCGGTGCAAGCATGCGCTGATGAATCAAAATAGCCTTGGCGACAAGGGAGAAATTGCTTGAGATAGTTTCGGTTTTACACTGAAAAAGAAAACCGAAAGTTTAGATAAAGCCTAAGATAGACTAAACGTTTTGTTAATATTTTACGAATATAATAAAGTGACATTATTATTATTAATATATTGATTTGCTTAGTTTTGTCTTCAAAAAAAAAAAAGAACAAAAAGAAGAGACTTTTGAAAACTGCGCAAGACCATCGCTATTGCAATCAGCTTCCGTTCGGCCGGCGTTGGAGTTCCGGGGAGTTCGAGCATCGCTTCCTTTTTACGTTTTAGCCGTTTTTGCGGATATTTTAGATATCTTATTAACGAATACCGTGTTCAAGAATGGCAAGCGATTACTGAGAGCTGTGAGACACAGCGTCACAAGTGGCGGACAGTCATGGCCGACTGGTGCAAGCGAAGGTGAGGAAGTTCCTTTTGTTTCTGCGAAGTGCGCCGCTGTTTCAAACTTTGTCTTGTACCGTGTGCTTGCTAAGCTATGCTTGACTCTCACTATGCTATACCCGGTTTTATTTCGTAATTTGAAAACAGCGTATCTTCAAAATTTATGGCTCTCTCCGCAGAGTGAGAAAGATTCGCGTGCGGCGGAACCGAGGGCCAGCCGAGGGCCTGTCCTGGGCGCCGTCCCTACGACGGTCGCCCGACGACGCTTTTGCGGAGCGTTCAAGTACAGTCTGACGGCAGTTCAAGCAATCACAGGTCATGCTAGTTCTGAGGTGTGGTTCCAACAGTCTCTCGTCAGCGATTTGTTTCATAAAGCGGGAGCGTGAAAAACGTTACAAGAGCGAGCAGCATGATTTCTTGCCCGTGCTGATGCCTGTGCCGTAGGGACGGACGATCTCTTTGCGTATGCCGAAGCGGCACGCTTTCCAAGTTTGCGATTTTGTGTTGTGAATAAAGTGAGTTTGGATATCACTTTTTTTAGTGGCGGCGAAAGCCGCTACAAAAGGCAGAGCAGTTAGAAAAAGCAAAAGCATGAAAAAAATGTTAAAAGGACCTGAATATTCGATGGAGTTGAAAGATTACCAACGTACCAACTCGCTCAGTTATTCTTCGTCAAAGAATGATAGCCAATACTAATAAATTAAATAAATGCCAACTTTTAATTGGTTAGAAATTTATAATTGATGCAGTACAGCCCTACCCTGCTCTAGTGCTTTTATGATATCAGATAATGTGTAAATATATAGGATAGTTCATAGCAACCATTTATATCCGACACATTATATTGAATCTTTTCTCTAAAAGCTCGAAGTTATATAAAAAAAAAGTACTTATCATAAATTAAGCCGCACCACTGAATGTGTAATAGCGTATGACTTGTATGTGTGTTCACAGCAAAAGGAAAGGAGACATTAAGAAAATGCCAATCATTTTCTTTACTCTGTGTTAGAGCTTCTTTCAGGTATCAGGTTTTCAGAAACGATATTGTCCGATTTTCCTCGCCCTTTTGTCAGGATGAAGTTGTTACTATGTTGCCTTCCTCACATAGTGGTCTTTTGAGCGAATTTTGTGATGTTATATCATAGAGTGGCATAGGGTAATTTTCTCTTCTCTTTTTACGCAGGATGTAATGGCATACCATCATCACGAACGAGAGTGTACAGTGAGGCATGCTCGGAAACTTGAATAAAGTGATAAGTAGGATTTCAATTTCTTTCTTATCAATTACGCGAAGAACACTGATCATAATGTTTGTATGCTACACATACATACTTTCAGTTGAAGAAAGCAGTGCACCTCTTCTTTATGGCTTTTCTCACACAGTTTCAGAAGACGCCGGTACGTCATTCTCACGAGAAATAGAGCTGCCAGATTTCCTCGTTAATTTCCTGACTCATTTTTAAGAGTGCATCTCCCGATGGTGGCGCCTCTGCATTATCATCATCAATTGAGTTGTCAACGGCGTTTCTTAACACTTCACGAGAATGGAGCTGTATGAGATGAAATTTCACAGGTTGGAATACAGCCGTTCAAAGAAACACCTTTGAAAAGTCAGCTTTTTAAATGCAGGCGCCGATTTTTCTGGTCAATTTGAGACCGTTTTTTTTCATTCAGAACGTTCGACATACACGGCGTCCCAGATAACTTGCACCATACTTAAATAAACACCGGATGGCTCTGCAGGAGTAAAATCAACTGTCGTTAGCAAGTGTCTTGAGAAAGTGCACAGATTTTTTTAATGCGCCTGGTTATGCAAATAACTAAGATTAATGAGCTAACCTTTCAAATATTCTTTTAAGGGCCAAGATATGAACTGTAAAGTTGCAGGGCGCGTTGAAAAACACCCAATTAAAGTGTTTGAAACATAATACGTTTTCGTGCTTTTTTCCGGCCTTCAAAGAACGCATATTCGCGGCGCGATCGCACGCCGTGATTGGTGAAGCGAGTTGTCACGGGGTATTTTTTTGTATTTCGCGGGCGTTTTTTTGAAGGCTAGGGAAAAGGAGCGTGCAAAGTGCACCTTGTTGAAAATGGTTTAATTGGGTGTTTCTTAATGCGCTCTACAACTTTCCATTTCACACCTCGGCTTTTAAACAAAGACTTCAAAAGTTAACTTGTTACTGTTAATTAAATAAATAGGCGCACTAAAACAATTTCGTGCACTTTCGCAAGAGACTTTCTAACAGTGTACAGATGGTTTCACTCCGGCAGAACGCTCCGTTTTTGTTTTTTTAAAGTTTGGTGCAAGTTATCTGGGACACTCCGCATATATGTACTGGTAGTGTACATTTAGTACACTAAAAGCATACATGTAATGTACTAAACGTGCACTTATAGTATGCTAAAAGTACACTCGAGGTGCACTTATGGCATACTACATATGCGCTTGGGGTGTACTAAAGGTGTACTATTTTGTTTCATAAAAGTGTGAAACTAGTACGATTTCAGTACATACCCTAAGTTCACTATTAGTATACTTTCAGTGTACTGATTTTGAACGACTTTTCGCTAAGGGCTCCGCTTCGCCGGTTGCAGAACCAACTGGCCTATGCGCCTTCAGCGTTACCGCGGAGCTGCCAAAAAATAAAAGAATGAACGTACACCACAACGAAAGGTTATCCGTGCGGTGTGTATTTGTGTTATATGGTAGAACAGACCCGCAGATTCAATCGACGAGAACGAGCACCAGCTTGCGACTAGCAATTGCGTACGACACTGTTCAAACTACAGCCAGCTTGCACAAAAGTCACATTCCTTGGAGAGCACAATCGTTTTCATCATCTCGACGAGGGATCAGCAAAGAAGCTGATTCTCGAAATCAGGTCACTTATTTCTGCGGGAAGAGTTCACTTGAAAATTAGAGGAGCGTGGGGGAGGGGTGGCTTTTAGATCCGCTTTTGTATAGAAGGAAAGCTCGACGAAGTTTTCGCTTCTGTCATTTTGAGGCACGTAAATAACGTAAAAAAGGTTGAAAACTGCCTTTTCCAACTTGCTTTCCCTTAAAGCTTGCCGTCATATCAGAACGTTTAATTTTTTTTCTGCTAGTTCCCGTTTTTGTTTGTCTCAAACTATTAAGGGAGGCACCTACTAAAATTTTCTAATGCTAGAATGATACAATCACACGCATAAGCATTTTATCCATTGTTTTAAACAGTCGGTAATGTCGCGCGCGACAACAAAGCGCTCGGAGTTGGTAATACCTCAGTCACGCGAGGGTACGCCGGCGGCGCAGCCGATTTTAACCGTCCCAGTGTTGCCTGATTAGGCCATGGTGGCGCTGATGATGAACCAATGGTAGAGCGCTCTGAAACCTTGCCCAGCGCCCACACGATCTTTCCGTGAGACGCGCGCCTCTGCAGCTACTTGGCTGCTCCACTAATACATAGTTCCTAGTTTCCTACCCTCTTACACAGCGTAAGCGGAGGTGGGGATGAGGAGAGTAACATCAGCGAGTGTACACGCGAATCATCTCAACTGCGCTGCTTGGACGATCACATATCTGAAACAAACTTGACTTTGGCTAAAGCTGTTCAGCTTTGCTCGTTCTCCAACGGCATACGGATATGTTCAACACCACTTTAAAATTAAGAGCCTGTGGACTTAACCTTTTTACGTCACAACGGTAAGATGAGTGCAGACACGGACCAGAAACGAGTGCTGTGTTTGCGTCTAATTGGACTTCGTGTTCAATCAACGTGTAAGAGAACGCCCGGAGTCGGGCCCGTGTCCAGTTGCTGATTTGACGTCACCTTACTGTATTGACGTTGAGGGGAGTTAGAGTAGGCTGTACCTCGGCTTTTATTATTCTAGGCGGTGTATGTACATGTCGGTATTCGTGCGAAAGAACGCCAAAGCTAGCGGAGAAAAACGATGACGTCGCTCCATCAGAATGAAGCGAACAACTCAAGGCAATGGAAACCTTAACTCACATTTGTTTCTAGAATTTGTCCTGAAAGTTATCTGCTGCCCAAACAAAGCCAGAGAATTGAGAAGGTAGCTCGATGAAACAGTTTGTTTATACAAGTTCCCGCGTAAGTACGCTACTTTCGAAATATACAGTCCCATCAATGCCGGATCCTTTTTAGGTGCAACGTAAGATTATCAATTGCTGCCTCTGTGATGTGAACTCACCGCCAGAGTCAAAGACTGCGCTGCTGTCATTCTTGAGGCAATCCAACATGGCCTCTTGAAGAGCGCTGAGCTGCATTTTGGAGTCTTGATCGGCCAAGATAATCTGCATATAAACAACACCGAAGAAAATGTCACTGTGATAACCCGTTTCTTTAATAAACATCCTTTGTTTCAAGCACCCAAAGAAACCAAAATTATTAGTGAAAACAACACCGCAGCAAACAAAAACTTGGGCCAAACGACAAGATTGTTTTCCAACATTTATCTTGTGGAGCAGAAAACTCATTACCGGCATTGCGGCAAACCCGTGTTTGCCTTCATCTAAAGCGGCAGAACTACTTCACGGAAACCTGAATAGAGCAAACACGTGTCCGTGGGAAAACGACTTCCGTGCTGAGCGCGTTGTCTTGAAACATTAGGGACAGTTTGTTCTCCGGGCACGACCCGGATAAGGTCCCGTGTCGTGCATCGACCGCCGTCGCTTTTGCAGTTGCTGCGCCGTCGGGAACAGATTTGTATTTGTAACCGAGGTAGAGAAAAACGCAGAAGGCATGAGGGTCCGGAACAAAAATAAATGAACAAAGAGAAGGTCATAGAATCCTCTCTAGATTTAATTAAGGTATCGCTGCTTGATTCAAGACTACTGTTAGCTTCCGTGGGGGATACGAGCCCGCTAACCGGAGTTCCAAGCAGCACACTTCCACGGCCACGGCTTGTGCCAGGTTGGCGCGGGCTAGAGCGAAATCGGCTAAAGCCTGGCCACAGCTCGAGCCAAGCTGGCCAAAGCATGAGCCGGGCCTAGTGCTACTAGGGTAGTGAAGCAACTAATTACATGTATTTAGGTTTCTGCAATTAGTTACAAATTTAGTACGTTAATATTTTGCAAGGTTCAATATGATATTGAACCTTGCAAAGGTCTGTGCTCAAAGTAAGAATGCCAGATACAGATCTGTTCCACCTGTAACATCATATTCATTGACAATGGGAAATTACGTCTTAAATATTGCGGCAAGACCGTTAACCAAATTTAATAAAAATATATCCCAAAACGAATTATTAGATATCGCCTATTAGGGATATCGATTCTTCGCGACATCCGGAGACGTATGAGGGCCGCGTGCCAACGTGACTACGAACAAACAAAACAACTTGTATGGCGCTTAAGCTTCGCCTTCAAGAGTGGGAGGCGATAGAGTTATCGGGCCCCGTTCGCAAAGCCTTTTCATAGCTGTAGCTCGTTCCAAAGCCATGCAAGCGTGTGTGCGTGGCCTAGTCGGTTCGCTAAGTTTGGCGGGAAACATTCCGCTAAAATGAGCGGAAAGTTTTTCCGACAAATTGAGTGGGTTCATAGGGTCATGATGTCACAGCCATGTGTGACCTCACACGCGTGACGTCACACGCGACTGCGCGCGTTGCTTTATGGGATTTTTGGTTCCACCGACACCGACGTCGACGCCTGATTTTCAGCAACAGCAGCTCCTAGACGCTATCGCGTTAAAAGACTGCAGCTAGAGCTGCTCAATGCATCCCACTAGCGATTGACCGAACGTCGCTCACAGTCCGCAATCAACAAGCGTATGCAGAAGCTTTGCTGTGGAAGATTAATTGGGTCAACAAGAAGCTGCTTCAGCATGTAGGTTAGCGGTACCGGTTATTTGATTGCTTACGGGCTATACGGAGAGCCAGCCTCTGCTTGCAGTCAGGACAAAACGACTTCGAGTTCTGATTTGTTTGATTGGAAGGATAATTGGTAGGCCTCAATGCTAGATGTCCTGAGGTCTACTGTTTTTTTTCGATCAGCCAATAAAAGCTCGGCGTTCTGACATAATCGCAACCCCTCTACAAGAAGCACACGAACGGCATTGTCATTGACAACATAGGAACTCAGCTTGTAGCTTCTTTCAATTACGCCTGTTGCCTATCGATTCGTACTCCAGGGATTTATTTGGCTCACGAAGCAAATGTACTAAAAAACAGTGAGTGCGCAGGCAAACTGGTGAATGTTGATCATGATGTAGAATACCCGAGACTGCGGTAGAAGCTGCGGTAAACTTGGTCGAAGAAAGAGACAAGGGAAAAGAACATCTCAAACTCGGCTACGGCGTTTATTTACTCAAACCCGTATATATCCACAACCTAATCACCGACCACCGGCGTCATAAAGCAAACCATTGTTATACAATTCTACCCACACTGGTCTTCACCTGAACCGTAAACGGTGACCTAAATCTTAAACTGAAAACTTGAGACCTTGAACAAAACAATCCCACCGACCCACTTCCTTTCCAGCCGGAGTTTGAAAGGGTTGTGCTTTATCTAAACGAGGACTGATATGTCCTCCAAACCGCAAACCGCTACCAAGTTTCCCAGCTTTTACCACAGTCTCCGGTAGTCTACATCCGGAGCAAATGCACTGTTTGCGGAGCGAAAAGGAGGTGCCCAGGACTCGCCAAATCCTGCCTTTCTGAAGCTGTCAGTGACATAATATAGAGGCAACCCTCACAAAAAGTTATATCTGGCTATATCTAAAGATTTCAGATATGGCCATATCAAAAATTGGCCACTTATAGCCTGATATGATATATCCGCCAAATAGAACTTTAGAATGCGAGATATAGTCTGATATCCCGGGCCAGGTATTGAAATCCAAGATCTGGCCAAGTATAAAAATTTCAGATCTGGACACGCATATCAAAAGGACACAAGCCTGAAATCAGCACTTCATACCTCTTTATTGTCGACAATTCTCCCAAGTGCCCCGGCCCGCACTCCAGGAGTTATGAGAACAGTCATCAATCAGCTACCTAGAGATCGCCGATTTGGACCAATTCCATGGTTACACTGTTTCGAGTGTAATTTGTAGTAACCCTGAACAAGCGTCCCATAGGGCTCGAGGACCTGTCATATTACTTTTAAAATTTCTCGTCCATGGCAGCGTTAATGATACTGCGCATGCGATCCACCTTTCAACTTGGCTGAGCCGGAGAAATCTTCTACAATATTATCATTTTCGTGACAGTTGTTTTAGCAGGAATTACTTAAAAACCGAGAAATCGCAACAACTAAAACCGGGATTTAGCTGGGATTCGGCCAACGTTCCTAAACCACTCAGTTCGGAAACTGCCATAGAGAAAGCTCCGAAAAAGTGTCCCCGATCTGTTCTCGAGCACCGAGCTAATAGCAAACACAACGCCGTCATTTCTCCCGTAGCGGCCAGTCGAGGAACTGCACGTGACGTCTAATTTGGCTGTAATCGGCCCTTTTGGCGCCGAAACAGATACAGCGGAAGAGGCTGCAGGGTTGCCACCCCTATCTCCCCGGCGGACGCGCCGCGTCTTACTACCGAAGTTAAAATGCATCTAGGTCGGGACACGCTACCTGAAAGCACCGCTGAGGCATGGTTGTATAAGAACAATATTAATTGTGCCGGAAAACCTTCCGAACTAAAGATTTCAAAAACATCACGTGCCCTTCATTTTGTACTAAACTCCAATAAATTTCATAAAAAAAGAGTCTTTTCCGTTTGTTTTTACGCAAAAACATGCTTACTAAAAGGTCAAGGTGACCACAGTACAGACAAATGATAAAGAGTGGCGCTCTTGTCGTATTTAGCTCGGTCTCGGTGGACGCCAGCCAGGTGGACGCCCAGGTTTCGACGGTGAGTTTCCCAACTGAGTGTTTTAGTAACGTTGGATTCAGCGGAGCTGCAGCCTCTTTGAAGCTGTACGAGACTGATAAAAATGTAAGAGATATTTCTGCAGCTCATCCAAGTTGAACGTTGGACAGAATGCACAGTACTGACATGAGCGAGGAATTTTAAAAGTGATAAGTGATATGACAGGTATTTGGGTATTATACGACGCTTGTCCAGGTTGACTCCGAATTATACTCAAAGCTGTGTAGCCATAAATTGGTGGAAATTTTCGATCACTAGGCAGCTGAAGAAACACCGTCCCCATGATTCCTCGAGTACGGGACGAGGCGCTTGGGGTATTCATCCAATTGTCTATTCGGGCGTAGTATTAACACTTCGAAATAATTTAAGCTACATGGAAATCCTAGTGAAAATTAGCACAATTAATTCCAAACGTAAGCTTGCCAAAGCTGAAGTTTAGGATTATTTTTGTAATATTTAGCTCGCAAACAATGAGTCATTCACAGTTTGCTAACAAAGCACTTTTAACTTTTTTAAGTTTTTCATATATTGAAATACGGCTGCCAGATAAAGCTGTATATACGCCAGATATACCTCAAATAAGGCTGTATATAGGCCAGATAAGTCTGTATATACATCAGTTTAGGCTGTATATGTTCCACATAAGGCTTTATATTTGCGAAATAAGGCTGTATTTACGCCAGATAAGGCTGTATATACGCCAGATAAGGCTGTATGTACTCCACATAAGGCTGTATATAGGCCGTATATAATCATATAATGTTTTGATATGGCCAGATATGCCCCAGATATAAAATTTCCATGCGGTTTAATAGATCCATTCTGAATTTATAAAATAAGTCGAAGATTATGCGCAGCAGCCATTAGTTGGTATCATCCTTCCGCCGTGAAGCCCGGCATCGGTTCCCAACTCTGAATGCTGACGAAACGTTCGAGTCCAATGTGTGCTCGCAGTGCATGACCAACTAATGGCGGCCACAGAACATGTATTTGCATAATTTCAAAATTTCGACAAGGGTCTATTGCATATTAAGAAACTCACGGCGCGGTTCATCATTTTCGTGCGTTTCGCTTTTTTTACTGTTTTTTTTTAATATTCCGCCGTTCGATTTGCGACAGGGAGGTACAAGATGCAAAGGGAGTTGACACGCCCTGCGTTCCTGGAGCTCTCAGTTACTGCAGTACCATTTGCGCCTGAAAGGTGTGGGCCCCCTAGCGGCTCCCCAGCCCAGTTGCCCAACTACCGGGCACAAGGGGCGAACTTTCCCGCGTGGCGACGGAGTTAAACCGGCCACGTGCACATCGCTCGCGTCCCCTTGATAAGGCGGATCATAGGCGGCGCGCAGGCAGTCGCTGGTGGGATTCAAGCGCCACCGGTGCCCGTCGGTTTTCTTTTACTCTTCTTCATCGTCTCGTTTATG